GTGACTATCAAACACCATAATCTCAGTTTTCTTCTCATTTAAAATGAGAGAATTGGCAGACAGCCACTCTGTGACCTCTTTCAAGCAGTCAGACAAACGATTCAATGAAGTTGGCAGGTCAAAAGATAATTGGAAATAGATTTAATAATGTGTTGGTCCCCCCTTTTGCTGCCAAAACAGGCCAGGCCTATTGAGCCATGGACTCCATCACACCTTTGAAGGTGTGCTATGGTATCTGGCACCAATATGTTAGCAACAGAACCTTTAATTCTTGTAAGATGCAAGGTTAGGCCATTTATGGAACTTATTTGTCCAGTACATCCACCAGATATTGGATTGGATTGGGATCTGGGGAACATGAAACTTCCTTTTTTTGGATTATTATTGTTAGATACTGACCAGGAACAGCCCATAAAAGATGCATTTTGGAAATGATCAGTGTAATTCTCTTTATCTGTCAAAGGTCATAATGTGATGCCTGAAGTGTAAATCTATCAAAATGTCCTAATATGATGCATTGTATCGTGTTAAATGTGTGTCTCATACTTGGCACAGCGGACCCAGTTGATGTGCTGGTTGAGAGAGAAGAGGAACTTTTGCCTGTGTGTTGTCCACACTTTAATTGTCTTGTCATCAGAGGCCGTGACCAGAGTCTGTCCGTCACCAGAAAAGTTAACACTGCGCACAGTGGCAGTGTGAGCCCTGAATACTGTTGACTCAGCCTTCCTGTATGGACACAAGACATTACTTAAGTTTAAAACAAACAAGCAAAACCCAGAAGGTGTTCAGCAATGTGTGTCTTCCTCCATGCTGGCAGAAGGAGACAAACAACATTCAGTAGTTGCTGCTCTTTATGAGTCACCATCATTGTCCTCTGTAGTAAATCTGTGGTGGAATAAAGAACAGAAAAGACAGAAAGATTTTACTTTAACACCTACATGCTTGGCACCCAAAGACGTACAGTCTTGTCTCTGGAGGCAGAGGCCACCAGATGGCCTGATGGGGAAAAGTGGACGGAAAGGACGGCGTCTTTGTGTCCATCAAAACGATACGCTCGCATCTGAGGTTTCATGTTCCAGATCATCACACAGGAATCCATGGAGCCTGTGGCTAGGAGAGGATGAAGCACAGGTGTGAGTGAAAACATCATCTATTTCCAAAAAGGAAAAGACAAAGGCAACAGCAAACAGTTACATCTGAAGGCAAACAGATCATTACCAATTTGTTTCATGTTGCAGCTGAAGTCCACACTTGTTACGGTGTCCCTGTGACCCTTGAAATGTCTTTCTAGGGTTGGATCAGACTATGGGAGCAAACAGAGAGTCATGTCAAAATGTTAAAATGTCCTCATGACTACAAAAGCTACAATAATAAGCAATAAGTTAGACATCTGGGAAACAGAAAATTTGGTACTATTTACTAAGAGCTTATCACTGAAGAAGTGCTATTTCTTCCTCATCACGACTATGTGGGTGTATGATGTGACTAAAACTGGCCTGGAAACATGAGCAAAGAACCCCATAGTTATGATTTGTAGCTAAAATAATGAGGTCCTCTGATTTTGCGCAGTTATTCTTTTTTTACTCTCTTAAGTCTGTGGGAAAATAACACAGAGTAAGTTTCTAACTCTCCATAAAATCGCTAACAGCATCCCAACTACACACGTAAGGTTTAGAATACACAAGGCACTTCTATGACACCAAAGTAAAGTATGGGTTCACTCAATTAATGCTCTTTCAGCTTTTGATTTTTCAGACATGTCACACCAAACAAAAAAAGAAAGAAAGAAAGAAAGAAAGAAAGAAAGATTAATAAAAATACACTGTTTTGGTTTTAGGCTCCTAGAACAGGTTCACGGTCACGACTTAGTATGACACGTGAATGGAAACAAGTCTGTGTTTATGTTAGTAGTAACACTTGTGCTGCTAGTCAAAATGTTTACTGTGAAAGGCACCCACTGTGTGTGATACATCTCATTGCAAAACCCATGGCCAATAATATGTTACCATGGCTGCCTCTGCTATTCTGGGAAAGTTTTCAACAAGATTTTACAAGAAACAGCTGTCGACAAATATGTACACAAAAGCATGCAAACCGATGTTACACCACATTCTGAGGCTCAGCATATTAAGTGACCGAATTGATGCGTTTTGGGGTCATTGAGGTCATTGAAACGTCATGCTAGCCCTCCTCACCTCAACCCTCATCTTCTGAACGGAAGTCACCGCTCTAATACGTGAAAATGTGCATAAACATGCTTATTTATTCCAGATATCATTGTAGTTACTTATTATTATCATTAGCATTTCAAGGCAGTTAATAACAAGCCAGCCAAACAAGAACAGCTGGTTACAACCTAACATTATACCAGCCAGTGTCAGGCTTGAGTGTCTTAAAAATCACAGTTTCCCTTTGATAAACAGTTTGATTACATTCTCATAGTTTAATGTCTGTGAAGGTTCTCAGTCATCCAGGTCATCGTAGTCAAAGGAGCTTGCAAAGAAAAGCGTCTGGACTTCTTTCAGTTGCTTGAAGACGTTTCACCTCTCATCCGAGAAGCTTCTTCAGTTCTAAGGTCAAATGGTGGAGAGTCCAAGATATAAACCTAGTGGGAGTTATATCTATATCATAGTTTAATCACTATCTCAGTCTAACAATGTTCAATCCATTTCAAAGAACGTTTCACTAATGCCAGCAAGATCCTTGCGAGAAATACACTAACTTGTATATCAGCTAGATAAAAACAAAAATTATATGTAACAATTTTGTACAGAAATGCAACTAAAACTATATTCTGTAAGTGGTAAAGGCAAATTACCACTCAAGAAAGTTATCAAATAAATAAATAAAATGTTCCTAGGAGTACAATGTGATCTAAAAGTAGCAAGTTTAAATTTATTTAATTTCTTCATATCTGGTTCATTTATATGACAATGTGTCGAATATGTTTAGGCTAAAGTTAAAACTAATTATGCCTAAACAACTATTCCAAAGTTCAATACCTCTTTTTACAAATGTGCAGTCACATTTCACACTACTCCCAACCTTGGGTTTTTCATAAAATATCATTTGTATTTCTCATTTAAAATATAAAATAAAATACTGTATACATAAACCTTTTATATACTGTAAAAGGTCCTCCACGGAGTATAAGACTGTTTTTTCAGTGTAGTAGTGAACTGTGGAGTCTGAGCGCAGTACAGCCGCGTACTGGCGCTGTTTCACAGCGTAATTGTTCACAGACTCCAAACGCCGATTAAACTTCAGAGAAATTGAGCAATAAAGTCAATTCTTCGTCACGAGTTAATTAAAAAGTATTAATATGAAGAGGTGTTTTATGTCTTCGACGAACGGACTTTTGTAAACAATGCATGAAAGACAGAAACAACTCGGTCCATTAGGACACATTTAACTCTGAGTTAAACCTGTAAGGGTGTAGTTCCAAATTCGTGACACAACCGCGTTTTCACCACACACGTTTATTATAGCTCAGGAATAATTCTGGCAATATTATAATTGGTGAAAATTAATTATTCACTAATGACAAACAATTTTATAAAGGTGAAGCTTAGGGTTTTCATAATGTTGGACGGCATTCGTACCGGAAGTGGTGCCTGCGAGGTCTAACTCAGGGGATTTGTCGAAAATCACGGTAGGCGGTTACCAAGGAGACGTTTAGCCGTTAGTTTAGCTAGCCGCTAAGCTAGCCGTTAACATCGGACAGACAAAACAGGACTTTCCGTGCCACATTTTCTTGTCAAAGTGAACCAGTGTGGCATGGCAGAGCTGCACATTATAGGGCAGATCATTGGTGCAAGTGGTTTCCCGGAAAAGACTTTGTTTTGCAAATGGGGAATTCATACGGGAGAAGCATGGCGGCTTTTATCCGGGCTGAAGGAGGGTCAGACCCAGGTGGATAGCCCCCAAATCGGAGACATAGCGTACTGGAGCCACCCGATCGATCTGCACTACGCGACCAAAGGGCTGCAAGGCTGGCCGAAGATTCACCTAGAGGTGTGGCATCAAGATTCTTTCGGACGGTGCCAACTCTATGGTTATGGTTTCTGCCACGTCCCTTCTAGTCCGGGACATCACCGAATAAGCTGTGCGACCTGGAGGCCCGTGGGCTCCTGGCAAGAACGGCTGGCGCAAATGTTCGTCGGCGGAGGTCCCCAGCTCCTCAGCCCTGACCTGATCTACAGCGGGGCGGACAGATACAGACTGCACACCGAAGCCATGGGGACTGTGGAGCTGGAGCTGGGCATCATCACGAGACACTTTGACAAATATGGTGTCGAGTGTTGAGATTTTGAAATGGCAGAAAGACAGAAAGTAGAAACAGTTATAGATCATATTTGAGTCACTTGCTTTTAGTAGAATTCTGTACTATTTTTTTTCTAAACTGCACTTTTTTTTTTTTTACAAACATCTATATGTAAATAAAGAAAATATTCTCTTACTGAAGTTGGTTTCTTGCTGATTTGTATTTTTTAATAGAAAACTGACTCTTATTAGCAATATTCCCTGTAATCATGCCTCATTTAATGCTGTTTTCTTAAATGCATCTTTATATTATATTATGTAAACCCACATTTACTTTTTATTTGGGATTTTAAGTTGTACGACTAACAGGATCGTTACTTGAATTAAGTTCAATGTCATTAATAACCTGCTACAAATTAGGAGTGGGGGCAAATACTGATACTGAAATCTATCATTTTGGTTCCACATGTGATCCATTCACTGGCAGCAAATATTGTTTATCAAAAGATGTAGGAGTTCCCTGCTAGTCTGGCACACTTCACTACTTTTTAAGAAAATTATAAAGTGAGTTATCTTACTTCATATTAACAATAACAACCTCACAAGGAAAGAACGGGAAAGACTTTTAAAGAGTATATTTTTTCCCTTCAGTTACCAGATACTGTGGTGTATGGTGCATGACTGTATTGCACAGAATATATATTGTCATAGTGTCTTATGAGTTACTCTTGGAGTTCATCAAAGAGAGGTTTTGACCAACCTTTCTTGAAAATGAGGTTTAGTTTATGCAAACTTAAAATAAGCTTGTTTTCTTCTTTGTTTGTCACTGGTTACAAGCATCTCTGAATGCACAACTTGTTGAGCCTTGAAGCACATAGGCATACTCAGATCTTAATCGAAAAGAGCACCTTTGGGATGTGGTGGAGCACGAGATTCTCATCATGGACGTGCAGCCGAAAAGTCTGCAGCAACTGCCTGAAGCGATCATGTCAATATGGACCAAAACCGCAGCTTCACATAAAGAATTAAGGCAGGTCTCAAGGCAAAAAGGCTGCTCAACCCAGCACTTGCGAGGTGCACCTAATAAAGTGGACGGTGAGTGTATGGTGGCATAAATTACTCTATCGTTTTTTCTTTTTCTTATAACTTCAATATACTGTAATTACCGTACACAGAATATCAGATTGTTGGCATATTAATTGCTTGTTAGTCACTTTGTCGGCAAAATGATGCATTTAATCTGCAAAGGCAATTTAGATCATGACAAATGAGTGAAACGATACCATTAAACTTTCACAAATGTATCATTTACATGACATATGTGGCTGTCATGACTGCACAGGGCGGTTGTTACATTAGTATAAATGTATATATTACATTGGACACTCAGCAGACTGAGTAATGAGTCACTTTGCTACGACTTCACAGACATTTAATCCAGACTAAGAGTAAAATTACCCTGATTTATAATCTGCTCTCGCTCTAAATAAAGCTAAAACAAGCAGCAAAAAGGAAGGGGTCCATATCAAATAAAAAAATATATGATGTATTGTAATAAATCTACAGATATATCGACCTTTAACTCTTAACCAATAAGCCACATTGTGGAAACCACAAATAAGAAACGAACTTCATCTCAGTGGCTCAAGCAGCAAGTTAAACTCACCAGCGCAGATGTCATTTTTGTTGATATCGGAGGCGAAATCCTGATGGAAGCGACTTGTTTACGTTCGTAGCTGTCCAAGCTAAATGTTACCGTGCTTTCCTCCGTTATTAGGACGAATGGGGTGCAAGATATCGCCTCTTTAGCTCGGTGTCCGGCTAACGCTAGCTAACAGTTAGCTCTTAGTTGCTGACAACAACAAAGTTCAGTTTACGCGCCGCGATTGGGCGCTGAGCAGCTGGTCGCCGCTCTTAAAGGGGCAGTCATCCCTTTAGCAAAGTTTCTGTCGAAACTGTCATTTTACTATTAACGTCAAAGTATTTAAACGATATGAAATATAGTCAAATAAAGTCCACACAGGTTTTACAAAATTATTCATGTGATGCTGTTCCATTAGGATACGTTACGCGGTAAATTCAAAATCAGGCCGTTTGTAGTAACTCATAATTGCCACCAGGTGTCAGCAGAGGTACACTAGACAGAGTTGTAAATCAGCTTTATGCAGCTAAGTACATGAAGGCCTGTAACCAAGGCCTAACGTGGGTTTTGCTGTCGCCTGCTTGTGCATATAAAATCTTAACTCTGGAGAACCCATGGGGTCATATTTGACCCCATATTTGACCCCATGGGTTCCCTAGAAAACCAATGGGGTCGACTCTGACCCCATGGGTTCTTCAGGGTTAAAATATAATCCATTTTCACTCAAGAATAAGATATGTGAAGGGAAGGCTGATGAAAAATAACTGCATTTTACTTTGAAACTGTCATTTTACTATTAACGTCAATTTAAACAATATGAAATATAGTCAAATAAAATCCACACAGGTTTTACAAAATTATTCATGTGATGCTGTTCCATTAGGATACGTTACGCGGTAAATTCAATATCAGGCCGTTTGTAGTAACTCATAATTGCCACCAGGTGTCAGCAGAGGTACACTAGACAGAGTTGTAAATCAGCTTTATGCAGCTAAGTACATGAAGGCCTGTAACCAAGGCCTAACGTGGGTTTTGCTGTCGCCTGCTTGTGCATATAAAATCTTAACTCTGGAGAACCCATGGGGTCATATTTGACCCCATGGGTTCTCCAGGGATAAAATATGATCCATTTTCACTCAAGAATAAGATATGTGAAGGCTGATGAAAAATAACTGCATTTTACTTTGGGACTGATCAGTCTAAACATGAGCCGCTCTACCTGACCCAAACACAGTATTTTTGCCCCTTTGACTGAGTCTGCCTAGCCAAACAGGTCACATTATGACTAGTAGGAAAGGTGTCAGTGTTCCTGATAGCTATGACAACGGCGCTGTCAGGTTTCCCAGGTACACACTACTACACTCGTGGTTTTGTGGCACATCAGAATGTCTCCTTGAGAAAAACACTTGTCACATTCAGTGTGCAGTTTTTTCATTGTGAAGATTTTGAAAACACACATACAGAAAATGTAGAAAAAGATAATCTCGGAAGTATTTAACAGAAATAATGAATATGGATATAACTAATGAATTTAAATGTGACCAGGGACCTGGAGTCTGTAGGAATTGGCAATGAGACGTGGTAAGCCACTCAAGGCCTGTGTCACCTAACATTTGATGGTCAAAATGAGCTAATAACAGTGAGTAAACCTGCTCTGTGAATCACAGCTACTGACGTACAGCAAACCTGTTACCATAACAAAGATTAGAGATACATTCCTGAGAACAGGTCAGATCATGATGTCATTTTAGCAGAAGTAATACAGGAAGTTAAACATTCAAATAACAGTAAGCACAGGATGCAAATATTTAGAATGGAGTGATGGAGTAAAAATCCAACACATAAACTAAAACTGAAGGATAATTTATTTAAGACTTATTCTTCTCTGCTCACCTATTCAATGTGTACATAAACTCATTCTTCAACTAAATCCCCACCCATGGTCTTGTTCAACCATAAGGTTGGTCACCTTGTAGCCAGTCATTTATACCACAAATACCAGTAATGCAATAACAAATATCACCACATAGTCATTCAGCATTACAAGCTATAATTATGTTATTGTCGCATTACTTCTAGAGTATGAGGTCATGCTTCTTTTTTCCCTATTCTTTAAAGCAAACTCACGGCAAGGCAGTGCAATCTGCTGCACACTCTAGAGACACTTGTTTAAAAATTGGAATAAAATGATTTATCTATCCACACTTCTTTCCAGAACTTGCTAAAATAGTTCAAATGTAAGGCATCTCATGAAGCTGCAGCAGGGTTACTGTAAGAGAGAGGGGCGCAGCACTCAAAAAATGAGAAACTACGAGAGATGTGAAGCAGCGAAAAGCAAAGATGGTGATAGAAGTACAAGAAAGTCCAGGAAGCGGGGAAAAAAGATTTTAAACAAATTATTTTGGGGTAATGTCAGCAAAAATATAAAAATCTTTACAAGTTATGACTATATATGTTTACATATATGTATATTTAAGACAGTGAGCATTGAAATTATTTTTTAAAAATGCTTTCATCTTCTCTGCTTATTTAATTTGGCAGAGTTTTACACAGAGATATCCTTCCTGATGGAACACAGAAGGAGGTTACACTGAACACTAAAATTAAAGTAAAATGACTACAGCAGACTACAGTAGAAGCCAGCACTGGTTCCTATCAGTTTTAAGGCTTTAATTCATTTAATTCAATCAACAAAGAACAGTTTGTCTTTGCCGCTGCCCTCATATATTTAGTTACAGTAAACTAAACAAAGACACACCCACAGGTTTACTGTCTGTAGATAAGTACTTACAGTAATACTACACTACACTTTAACAATGCCTTCTCGAGCTAAAGCATTCTCATGCAATGTAATTCATCGCTGTTAATAGCTTATAAATCAGTTAATAGCTTATGTATCATATGGGAACAGCACTGATTACATCACCTTGTAAAATCCTAAAGATTCCAGTAGGTGATGACTTTGATGAGAAGGAAGGAGGAAGAGAAACAGAAAAACAATCTGAAATTCTTCTCACTGCAGCTAGACACTTAAACTCAACACAGTTTACTTGCTCCTGCGTGATACAGAGAATCATGCAGCACGTTTACAGGGCAGTAAATATTCATACGTCTATCTGAAAACTGAGCATCTTATCAGTGTATGTGTGCACTGTTTACGGGTAGTAGGATGTAGCTGCAACGAATAATCAGAGCTTTGTCTACAGAAACAGTTTCCTTTTCAGTGCAGCGGGAGGATGTTTTTCATGGTGTGTGTTTTATCTCATGGGGTTCTTGACTCCTGTTTCGAATGGGCCTTTTTGTCAAACACAGAGCCTTTTGATGCGCAGTGAGAGAGGAAGCTGTGGGGACCGTAGCATGGGGCAACAGCTGGCTTAACACAGGCAAAGTTTCAACAGGTCCAGCGTTTTACATTTGCACACCGTGTGTTATGTGTTACACAACTGAGAGACACGTGGCCTTAGACTTCAAAATGACAAGTTCACCTTTGCGCCAGAGTTCATCTGGATAGGCTGGCAA